TAACCTGTTGGGAGCAGAGCAGTCAGCAAAAACAGAGTGTTGAGGCTAAAGCAGTTTTAAGCCCAAAGACTGTAACTCTTGCATGCTTGTAACTCTGCCAAGTTAGCAGATCTGCTGTCTTTTTTCTTATGTCCAGTGACGTAAACTTTTCCTTTTCCTTCTAGGCCATTCTTTAATGCCTACCTCTGAAACATCACCTAAAAATAGAACTTGTTCTTCTTCTTTACAGGAAGCTGGAGGCGCTACTAAAGGTCTCATTTCATCACAAGTGGAGATAGCTGCAAATAATGCAGCCAGCGCAGAAAATGAGAGGTCTGGGGAGAGCCTGGAAGGTCAAGCACCTACCAGTGTTAACTCAGAAGTGGAAAACAAATCACCAGAGGAKGGTAGTGCCAGGCTTTCTGAGAAAAGCACCATTCTGCCCAGGAGCTGGAGGTACCAAATAGAAAGGGCTTGGAAGAGGCTCAGAAAGTCTCCACTGCCAGCAAAACCAAAGCAGAATCCTACTTTTAATCTCAACGCCTGCCTTAAAGCAGCAAATAGTAGGATGCCAGCAAATCACGTGGTAAGTGGAAATGTTCTTGGCRTATGTTCCCTGATAGATCTCGGTTTACTCAGACAATATTTACAGCCTTATAGATATGTTCTACTCTTGTACTAAATCTTTTATTTGCCGTTAATGTCTCCATCTTCTCTTTCAGTATTTACACAAAAGATTGCGGGGCTTTTTGCAATATCAGTGAATATGTTACTTTGCTTCACTTGTCAGCTAGTAGCACAGCTGTTCTCAGCATGTAGTTATCTTTATTCAAATACTTAATTTTCAGTAGTGCTGTGAAAACTGCTCCCTTTTCCCCTCACTGTAGTAGGTTATGTATTGTGAAAGCAATGGGTTGCACGATGCACTTCCATAYAGGAGAACTAGGATAGTCCTGTAATTTTTTGACAATACTGCAACAAATGGAAACTTGGAATACCAGTCATATGAGTAGGAAGTACCAGTATGGTATGTGAGGGATTGAAACTTTGTGTCATGCCAGGTCAAGGCCTTTAGACTTCAGGATTGCCCCTTTTTTATTATCACCTGAAAGTTATTTTCCTTTCTATGTGTTATAAAAGTGGCTCAAGAATAATTGCTGTAAGTGAATTAAGTATTCTGATACTCTGAAGTAATGATCYAACTTCATATTACAGGTAAAAGAACCGAAGTATCAAATAATAGTTAAAGATCTCTCTCAAAAGGGTAAGTATTACAAAAGTGGACAATACGTATAATGTGATTTGCTTCCTCCTGTTTACTTAAGGAATAGCTAAGGCTATTAATGAGTATGGCTTAATGCTACAGGGCTTTCAATTTATTATAAAATATACTGAAATAGGATTTTAGAAAGTTGTAATCGCATGGTACGTTTTTCTTAAAACAAGACTTTTCTGCATTGGAGTTTAATGCAGCAATGCTTTTAAGATAACTACACTTTTGAGTGTTTTTAAACAAACCTTTATTTCAGCAGTGGCATTTACCTTAATGACTGTGATACAGGTCATAGCCGCAGGTCTTTCTGTCAAATGTCAGACAGCATCGAATCCCTGTATACCTGTCCGTAGCCAGCAAGGTGGTATGTCTGGATGTCCAGGTGTAAGGCTCTGCTCACGCTAGTCTCAGCAGGGCAAACTTAGATCAATACTTTGGTGAAGGTGTAACAGCCCTGCCATTGAAAAGCCCTGGTAAGAGTAAATAAAGACATGAAGGTCAGTGAAATGTCCACCAAAAACACCTCTACTGCACAGTACTTTATCTTAAGAGACTTCTTCAAGATATGTAGACTGCTCCCTCTAGCTTCTTTGTGAGAAGACTTTGAATAGGAAATCTATTTGTTCTATATTTAGGCATATTTGTTTTAGCTGCTAACTTAACTCTTATCATTCCGTCTTAGCATGCATTTGCTAAAAACTAATGGAAGAACTAGTAGAAACACATGTATTTTAGCCGTCTAAATCTGTATTTTTAGAATCTAACTTTTTTTTTTCCTTTTTTTTTTTTTTTTTTTTTTTTTTCCCAGAACTGAGAGCAAGCTTCAGGGCTTTTATAAATAACGTACCACTGGAAAAATGGAAGTCTCTTATGACAACTCATCTGAGAGTGAATGCTATTAATCAAATTATTTATGAGCATCCTTTTGATATAGATGAGCAAAAATACCAGATGCTTCTCATCTGGAAAAACACACTGGGAGATAAACAATCTATTACTAAGTTACTGGATGAGTTAAGGCATATAGATACCAAGGCTTATGATAATGTATTAAACACTTTAAAAAGTAATAACATTATAATTAAGTTACAGGTCACAGAATAACATTTTAAAATTGACTTTAAAAATGTTTCTGTACATATGTATCTGTAAACTTTCTATATATGAGGATGTCAGCAGACTGCTAGTGTAACTAATAGTGTTAACTTGAGGGTATCCTCTTACCTTTCAGTGACTCAGGGAGCCAAAAGTGCTTTGACAGGGTCAGCAGTTGGCTATGACAAAGACTGTGGTTGTGTTGTCCGCTAAGGTCTTCTGAGTTGTTCTGTGTTAAAGCTTGSGTACCAGATAGCAACGTGTGTGGCACTTCACCTGTCATGTCCTTCACACACATGGAAATATGGATGGGCCTATTGGCTGTTTTGAAGTAAACCATCCACAAGTGGTACTGTTTTTTTTTTTTAATGCAGAAAAGGCTGCTTTTTGTTTTGAAAAGATTAAATGTAATTTTTTTTTTGGGGGGGGGGGGGGGAGGGGAAACGATCACGTTTTGTTTCTTGAAAGACAAAGCTTGTGGTATCCTAAGAACTGTTAAAGCACGGCAATAAAACCCTCCAGACGCTACCCCCGTCTTGTGTGATTGCTGGGCTGTGCCGCAGGGCCGGTAACGCCTGGGAAGGCGGTGCGTTTCGCGGCGCGGGGATCCCGCCCGTTCCCGAGGTGCAGCTGTCCGCCCGGCGCCTTCCCGGGACACCTCTGCACCTCTGCGACGGGATGAGGCGACCGCAGGCAACGGCCGCCGGCGGCAGCGCCGCCCTGAGGCGAGCTCGCCCGCGACCCCACAACGGTCACCGCCCAACGGTCACCGCCCAACGGCCGCCCAGCCTCTGGGCGGGAAGGCGGCGGCCAATGAGCGCGCCTCGCGCCGTTGCCGTGGTGACGCTAGTCGGAAGTAGCGTCGCGAGGGGCGGGGCGCCGCTTCCGGACACGCTGTTGCATCAGCTCGCGGGCGGCGGCGGGCACGGCGGGATGGCGGCGGCGGGCGGCGCCGAGCAGGGTAGGTCGGGGCCCGGCGGCGCCGCCGCGGCTCTGCCCGGCGCGGGGGGGGCGCCCGGCGCCGCTGTCATGGCGCCCGGCGGCGCGGCGCGGCAGGTGCCCGCCGCCGTGATGTCACGACGTGTGGGGGGGGTGGACGTGACGTCACGGCGCTGGATGGGGGGGCAGCGTCCCGCCGCCATGTCAGGGGGTCCCCACGCGTGGAGGCGTTGGGTGGAAAACTGTGGAAAACGCTTAAAAATACATAAAAGCCGTGTGGAAACGAGGCCCCTTCCCGCGGCTGTGTCCCCCCTGCTGCCCTTTGGTGCCCCTCCTGCCCGCGCTCCCTCGGTCGGGCCTGAACTGTGGCTTTTCCAGGCGTTTTCCGTGCCCTGCCTGTAATGACGGGCTCTGGGATGGGCTTCCATATGGAAGCAGCGCTGGGGTAGTCCTGTAATGCTTGACACTGCTCAAACAGAGGGAAACTCGGAATACCAGTCGCGCGAGTGCGAAATACCACCGTGGCGTGTAAGGGGTTGGAAGTTTTTTGTTGCAGATCTTTACACTCCAAGGTTTGTCATTTTTTTGTCGTTGCCTGGAAGTTACTTTCCTTTCTGCTTATCGCAAGTAAGCTTTCTATGTGGCAGAGCCCTCGAATACTCCTGTCAGTGGACTAGCTTTTTCAGATATATTTTCAGAATTTTAGTTGTTAAACTCCCTTCTGCCCCCACCAAGTATCAATCAGTTAAATTTGGTAATGGATGGATACGATTTGTGCTTTCCTTAGGTTAGAGCTGTTACCTTTTTGTTTCAGTTCATGGAAAGCGAAAGTGCAACTYGCAAGGCTAAAAGTGAGCAGAATAAGAAGCTCCTCCTTGATGGAAATAAAATGTAGAAATTGCCTTGTACCTTGGAGTTCATGCATTGCTGCAGTTTTCCAGATGAGTTGACAGTGTCATTTAGTAGTCACCAAAACATTCCACCTATGGAAAGAAGAATGTGTACAATTACAGTGCCCAAAGAGATCATACGCCTGTAATTATTGTACAACAACTGTATTAATGTTGCCAGTGGAATTTTTGAGAAACAACCTGAGTTAATACAGGAAAAAATGTCATGCTTGTTACACTGTTAATGTTTTTTCTTTTTTAATTTAGTTTGCAACCTCTTCAATACTCACAGTCATTGCTTGTTCTCTGAAAGGAATTGTTGTTGAGTGATATGATTTGATGCCTATGGATCATTCCATTCACATGAGTTCACGTTCCCTGTTATGCAACAGCTCTGTAATGTTCCTGCTTTTCTGTTGTTCATAAGAGGTTTCCTAATAGTGTTGAGTGGTAGCAACTGTCATTGTCTTGGGAGGGAAAACAGAAAAATGAACAGAAGGAAGGGCTGTTTTTTAGCCTGGCATCCCAAAACAGCAAGGATTGAGAAACTCAGTCCTACGTGTGACCATTGGCCCTTCTGCCTTAATAGCTTTTGAATCCATTGATGAGTATTAATTAAATTTGACTGTGGAGTTAGAGCATTTAATATTCTTAAGCTTGCACGAGTTCTCTAAAATCAGGAGCTACTGGAGTAAGACAGAGACCTTTTCAGTGACCTGATTGYGGAAGAGACAGGGAAAATTCAGCCCCTACACACTATGTTGAAAAGCAACAGCCACTCACTGGTCAGCACATGCTACTTGGAAATGACATTCTTCTTGGAAATAGAGATGCTGAGGGGAAGCAATTGAGGGTATGGGATATAAATCCCAAGAAAATAAACTTCCCTAGATTGGCCATTCTTGAATTGGTGTAAATGAAATTGGGACAGACTTTTGTATAAAGAGATTTTGAGTGGTTTGTCTTGCTCAACAAGAAATGGTATTTTTTCCTAGTGTAATATACTGACTTTTGAAAGACATTATTCTCCTATTCCTTGTTTCTTCCCAGGAGAGCATGCTGCAGTCCCGGAGAAGAGTTTTATTTTGTTACTTTGATCCAGTTTGGCGCTACCCACAAGAAAGCCAAAAGGGGGAACAATTRCTTCTCTGTGTATTGCATAGGATGCTCAGAGGAGTTTCAAATTTGCACTTATCGCTGATCTCTCTTTCAAACATGACCAGTTTGCTAGTATCTCTGAATCTGACTGCAGTGTAGTGCCAAATGTACCTGTGCTAGCTTTAAGATAGCTATGCTCTTTTTTTAGACTAGCAATCAATCTAGAAAACAAACTTTGGGCYCAATACAGACTGTGAAATCAGCATGAGAAACTCATGTTTGCACAATACTCTGCTCAGCTGCTGCTGTTCCCTAAGAAACTTTGTCCACAGATAGCTCGGGTGCACTCCAGTTACTGCTTTATGTTGTCTTGGACGTGGGATTCGGGCTGAATATCGCTCTCAGCATAAGACATTCTCCCTCTTAGGTCCCCTGGGCTATCTAGTTTCTTTGATGTATTATGCTTTTAAGTCTGCTTCTCCTGCAACTAGACATAACGTCAAACTTTATAATTTCAAATGTTGAAGTGTATACCAGAGTTGCCAGAAGTAATTTTTTAGCTTATCTGCTTATCAGAGCTGAACTGGTGCAGACATTCGCAGGTAGTATTTGCCATCTCTCCTCACCAAAATTAGCACTTACAAGTTCTGTTGTCTTTGTTGTATTTATGTGTAAGTTTGTACAACTTCCCGTTTAGATTGGTTTACAGATGTGGTTGGAAGGCACTTTGCTGCTTCAGATTTACTGAGTTGTTTCTCATTAGTAGCCTGGTGTATGAATAATGGCCATAATAACCCTAATAATACTTTGCAAATGGTGTGTTGCTTTCCTTGCAATAGATCTTCAAAGATCTTTCCTTTGAGATATGGGTTCATTTCTACACAGTTTATTCCTATATTTTTTTTTCTTTACTCTTCCCTCGTATGATTCATTGATGCAAAATGAACATTAGAGGAAAATTTATGTCTT